TTTAATTTTTGAATTGTTTAGATCCTGAGAAATACATTGTATTAAATATCACATTAATAGTGAATATAGTATTATAAGAGATGTCCAGATTTTCAAGGAATGAAATGTTTGAAAAGTTCCCTTCCAAACTTTGATCAGGCACGTAAATGTTCACAACTTTTATTTGTCATTTACAGATACATGTTTATTTCGTTAAGAGCCACTTTGATGGCTTATCTTTTCGTCTAAAACCAGATCTTGCAAAAACTGTTGAAATTTCAATGTGCACAACAATAATCACGTTTGTTATTATCAACTGACCTGTTTTTATATTATCATGAAGCAAAATTTATTCAAGAAATTTGTACTTGAGAAAAGAAAATCACTGACTGTAGCCTTCCATTTATATCAATGATATTTTAAATGTATTTTCATTCACATGTCGAATTGATTTATTACAATGAATTTGAAATGAAAGATATCACAGATTCTGTCACATTTGTATACAATTTGGTTGTTTCACTCATTATAGACCATAAGGGCCAAATAACAAGTAAATTGTGTGAAATACGAAATGATTTCAGCTTTTTATCTTCACTTTTCCTTTTTTGAAGTAGAAGTAATATTTTTCTATCACATGCTTATGGTATTATATTTCTTTTATTCTGTCTTTATTATTCGCTGCTTAAGATAGGACTAAGAGCGTTTTTAAAGAGGGGCAAGCCACAGACAGAAAAGATAATGTTACAGTGATTTAAACAACAGTTTTTTGTGTAAATTCTTTGTAAATTCATAATATCGAATTTTTTGGCGAATATTGAACTTACCATTGAGTCACATTTTGGCTAACGTGTTCCTAAATTAATGTTACGTTTTTGTTTTGTACTATTGCTGACTAAATAGCATCTTTTATCGATAGGGCCCACTTCGAATACAACCAGTCGACAGGGTGTGACTAGTCATAGTCATCTGAACCAACTCTAGATTTTCCAGGGGTTCGTGTTTATGCTCTCTAAATAGATTTGTATTGCTTATCAACTACATGTATTGTTCGTGTAATCAATTTGCATTATCAAAAAAAAAAAGGAAAAACAAAAGCCAATGACACGACAATTTGCAATAAAAAATACAAAGCAAGTCAGATAAAAAACACTTTCTCGTCAAGAGCTTCCTTATCATTTAAAACACACAGGTGCATTAATCAGGACTACTGTTCAAAATTGTCAAAAGTTTCAATCTTCATTCACCTCAGTTGATCATAATGAGAGGGTTGACTTAATTCTCCAAGTTCTTGATAACCAGCATTATCTTCCACTCTGTCATATACAGTTGCGTTTGTATATATTTCTGAGTTCCCTTTGCTGTTAACCTTTTCCGGGTTTTTGTTTTTACGAAATCTTCGTCTGACATTCCTGTACAATGAAATAGACTAACAATCATAGAAAATTGATATTAACTCTTTCATGTTTAAAAAAGAGACATAAAATAATTTGAAAATATATATATTAATGTTGAGATTCCACATGTATACTTCATATAAAATTGACGAGAAACTTTGCAAAATCATTAAGAAATAAACAAAGTTATTCAGTGAACATAGTGTTATAGATAGTAATTGCTCCGCAGGCATATTTCATGTTGCATGCTAACGCATCATACAAAATATGCCAACAGAGCTTTTGTTATTTACAATGCCATTTACTGAATAATCGTTGTTAATGACTTATATTTGCATTCTGTTATGCCAAGAATATCGTAGGAAATCCAAACTTACATAGTTCACGACTGCTAGTCTCCAGAGAAGAAAAGAAAACATTATAATATAATAAGTAGACCTGATTAATCAACCTTTTCTCCGATAAATCACACTTGATACCAATGGTATTTGTTTCTCAACCAAAGTTATCTGCGTATATTTAACGGTCTTCAAATTCTCGTAATTTTTGTTTTGATGCCGTTGTGACGTAATCGTTCAAAGTATTTAAACCTCTGAGAAAAATTAAAAATAACACTATTATGAAAGGCAAGAGGCCCATGGGTCTTATAGGTCACATGAACATCATGCAACAACTTTCTAACCATAAGATTTGGTTCATGTTCTAAACCAGAGGCCTTGCATTCACAAATCTGAAAGCACCATTGCTCATCATAACTGTACACTTAACCTGCTTTTTCGGTTACTTAATACCCTTAGCCACAGTAGGGAAACAGGAACACAAAAATGCATTTCAATCAATAGTATTCAACAATAATCAGTAGTGCCCTCACCAATAAGAACCCCTAAACCTTGGACTGACACATTTCACAATTTTGGAAAAGGCACTCTTACTCATGATAAATGTTTGCTTGATACATGAACCTACATTGTACCAAGGAGAAGATTTTCAGAGCATTAATTCATTTTCAGGATATAAATTGAGCCTTACCCTAACACCAGAACTCTATACTGTACCCACGACCGAGTAACCTTGTAATTAACAATTCTACAAGAAGAACCATTGCTCATCATAGATATTTAGGTAGTTAATCCGCTCAATACACCAGAGCAGAGAAGATTTTCAAAGAATCGATGCATTTTCACCATAAAATTTATATTTATATTGCCCTACACTTACACCAGAACCCCCGACACTGCGGCCATGGAATGCATATTTTTCAAAGAGACATTCTTTCTCGTCCTACCTGTGTAGATACATTAGTTTGTTAAATACCGTGGAACAGAGAACAGCATTTTCAAAGACTTAAGGTAGGATTTTCTCATATTTCTTGTATGAGAAGGTTTTCAAAAAAAATGCATTTTCACTATATAATCAAGAGTCCCGCCATTACAACAGAACCCCTGAACCTGGGGTTATGAAGTTCACAATATTAAAAGATGCACTCTTCCTTGCCTTTACAATACAGCCTCATTCTAACATCAGAATCCCTGACCCTGGCAGTCTTGCTGATCATAACTATGTATGTAATAAGTTAAATTTCCAGGAGCAGAGATACAGATTTTCAAAGAGTTAATGTATGTTCACTCTATATTAGCAGAGCCCTACCGTGACATCAGAAGCCCTGATCCAGGGGTCATTAAATTCACAGTTTTTTGAAAAACCTCCCTTCATCATCATAACTATTAGATTTGTAATTATGAAGAAGCAGCCTTATTCAACATAACTATGTACATGGTTAGTTTGCTTAATACCCAGGAGCAGGCCCCTGGGAAAATTTTCAAAGAAATTATGTATTTTCACTAATATATAATCTATATACTAGTAGTCCCACGATAGCTCTAGATCCCCAGAACCTGGGGCCATAAATTTTACAATTTTGGTAATGGACTCATTGCCAATCAAATATCTGCCAACAGTTTGACTGCTTGATGTCCAGGAGTAAAGAATATTTAAAAGATAGCATTGATTTTAGAAGTCCCCCTCAGATTCCAGGAGTGAAGGCTATATGAAATTCTTTTTTTTGATGCACATGAAATATGCCAAAATAGGTTGAAATTGGTTGAGCTGTTGGGAAGAAGAAGCTGAAAATGTTCAAATGTTAACACATGACGCACACCGCACGACGACGGTTGAAAACGGATAGCAATAGGTCATCTGAGTTTACTCAGGTGACCTAAAAAGAATACCTAAATATCAAGTTTAATATTAAAGAATTATTTTATTTGTGCTGCTTTTAGTTCTTTGAATTACTTTTAAGAGTTGATATGGTTTTTTTGAAATTTTACACTATTACAGAGCTTTCGCATTGTCTCAAAGTAAAAGACCCTATCGTAAATTATTAAAGATATCGCAGTTCTTTTCATCTTGCAAAAAGTTATGTTATACATTTAATCCATTGAACAAGATTTAATTTAAAAAATATATATATAAATCAGCAATTTTAATTAGAATGATTTTTTTCTGGGTGATTTTGTTTAAAGCTAATAATTATTTCCTTTGCACAACATTTCAGATGCCTCTGAACGCATTGAATTAGCTTGCACTGTACAAGTTTGAGAAATGAAGACCACTTATAACAAAAGAAGTTGTGTTTATACTCTTATAAATGCAACTGATGAGTTTAGGTTCCTAGTAGGGTGGGGGGGGGGGGGGCAGTTAGTATACAAATATGGCGCTGTGGAATTTTAACGTCATAAGGAAACAGAAAATTCACGCTTACATTGAAGTATTGCCGTTGCAAATGATCCCATTAATTATAACTTACCTGAAGGATAGTAACATTATTTGAAATATGTTACATTGACAGAAAAAGACAGAGTTCAAAAAGGTAAACTTTAGCACTAAATTTTTTTTAAAGATACCGTCTCATTACAAAAGTGCTGTCGAAAAATAATAAACGTGTCTTATACTTTTCTAATATAACATTGCAAATGAAAAGAAAAGAAACTCACCGTGTAATCAAAAATACGTTGAGAAAAATACTTATGAAGAGAATTGCGATCACAAAATACAGAGCAGACTTTGTCCAATCAGTGTTTGCTTTTGTCTCTGATGATGACAGGGCTACTAAAATAAAGAAAGAAGGATGGCACCAGTATATTTTTATTGAATTTCTTGTTTATTAATGTTGAATAAATTTTCAGGATTTTTTTTTCTTCAACAATACATTTTTTACGGGATCCTAGTATGAGTTACCATTCATCTTACTGAATTTACTCCAGAGATTGTTTTAAATGAAATAATTTATTTGAATGAAATAAATTGATCTGCCTTCCAAATAATCCTTCATAGAAATAAATTAAAAAAAACATGACATTTATAATAAATAGGTATTTAAGAACGCGTGCTTCTTTAAGTACATATATATGTTCTACAGAGTAAATTTTTTTTTTCTAAATATTAAGCAGGAGAAATCTTGAAAAGCACAATTTATACAAGTACAATTTAAGTTTTCATGTAATAGCCTATATACATTGTATTAGAAAGATAAAATATATATATAAATATATATTAATTATATTATTTATACTAAAATTGTTAATACATGATTTTGAAGGATTTAACCATAGTGAAAACCTACAATTATTTCTTTCTCACTGATAACACATAATTACAAATCTCTGATTACAAAAAATGGCATTTCACCTATCAAATGTAAAGTTTATCTTTTTATTGCATTCGATACCTTATATCGAATTCTCGTCGTCTTACTTGCACATTTTTCGTCGAGAAAATCCCCTTTGCATCCTGATATACATGATCCAGTTTTTGAAAAACAGGTTCCGTTCAAGCAGTTCAGGCTACATCTCTGTTCACACATTTCGCCGTAAAAGAATGGACTACATTCTATAAGAAATAGTTAAGTTATACAATCATGCAATTTTGGAAATTTTATCTCTTGGTATATATTTTATTTTTTATTTTTCAATATTTTTTTTAATTAGACATTTTCGGAAATACTTTTTAAGAGTTAAAAGTTTTTAGTAGAATTAAAAATATATACATATTTTGTTGTGTTTTATAAGAAAAGTTGTGAGTAAAATTTTGGCATCTTGTAATGTTTCATTAACACTTAATAACACATGTTTTGGTGTGTTTTTACCAATGCAATATTTTCCTTGCCAGCCCGTTTTGCACGTACAACTCCCATCATTTTGAGCACAGTTAGACGTGCATCCTGCTCCACATTTTTGTTGACAAGTGACTCCAAATTTTCCATCAATACAACTTTTGCAGCTACCATTGTTTTTGCTGCATCCATTTTTGCAGTTCTTGTGACATGCATTATTGCAGAAGTTTCCATATTTACCAATTTCACAATTGCCTATGCACATGCCATTGTCGCTATAGCATCCTGACTTACACGACGACGAACATTCCTTGGAACAATTAACCCCGTAATGTGCAGAGTCACACTCTGATAAAAAGAAATCGAACAAGTTTTTTTTTTAAAACATGCCCTTCCAAAGTTGAAATTAACGACATCAGAACAGCGTAATAAGATTCTAGTACATTGCATACCTGATTACACGTTATCACGAAGAAAACATACACATATAATCATAAATTTGTTAGCAAATCATTATCTACCCTCTTGCATTATTTTTTTTATGAGTGATGAGAAAATGTATGGACACTGTACACTGCAGATATTTTGAAATTGAAAGGTTTTCCTTGAGTACACGTAAGAGAGTTTATGTACCAAACAATAAATAGTTAGTTTGTTAGTGAGATATATGAAGATAACGGACAGTATTTCAGCTCAAATTGAAATACCTTTTAAACAATACACACAGGAGAGGAGCAAAGACGAACTGTTCTGCGTTTAAAATAGGGTACTCTAAAACTCGAAGCAATACCGATTTACAAGTTGACGTGTATACAGTGGTTAGTGCCCTTCGTGTCGATATTTTCGTCGTTTTTTTTTTTCATATCATGCTTTATGTACCAAGTGTAATTTCACCAAAGGGTACATTACAAAACACACGTTAATTAATGCTGCATATTTGCATGGTGTAGTAATGCCAATTTTTTTCTTTAAAGACTTCATCCCTAAAAAAAACTATAGTTAACTATAATTTAATTACGTTAACTAAAGTTTACTATAATCAAGTATAGTAAATCAAAGTGTCAAAGTTATCGATAAAGTTTTTCAAAGTGTCAAAGTTATCGATAAAGTTGTACAAAGAGTAAAAGTGTTCGCCAAAGTTTTTCAAAGTGTAAAAGTTTTCGCCAAATATTTTCAGAGTGTCAAAGTTTTGCCAAAGTTTTTCAAAATGTTAAAGTGATCACTATAGTAAACCAAAGTTTTCAAAGTGTCAATGTTATAACTAAAGTTATCTATAGTAAACTATGGTTTACAATGATCGTATTTTTTGTCAGGGATATTACACTCTATGTTTCTCGACGTACATTTAATGTGTTTTTTTTCTGTGTCGATGCATTTTCGTTACATCTGTTGTTCTTTGAAGACCTCGGTGTATTTTGCTTGACATAAACTTATTTTATTTAAAAGCACAGGCAAGATGTTAAGATTATCATGAAAATAAATCCAGACTGTGCGTGTGCTTCCATCAATACTATAAATACATATCACCAAATTTTCGCAACAACCAACTATCGCATCGTGCCTTTTTGGCATTTATAAGCGAATCGAAATTTTCATGATTTTTTTTACATTTAATTTATAATACATACACCTTGAATTTCACTGCATACCGTATGGTACAAAATACAAAAAAACAATAAGCCAATAAATTTCATGAGAATCAAACTCACCGTCGCATTTCCTTCCTGTCCAATTTGTTTTACACCCTTCCTCACAAGCTCCATTAATACTATCACAGACAGCGCGTGCGCAGTTGGAACTACATGACATATTGCAGAAGGAACCATAAAATCCATTTTCGCAACCTTTATTACACTTGCCAGTATCCTGATCACAACTTGATGAAAAACAGTTATCATTACAAGTTTGATTGCATTGAAATCCAAACGTCATATTCGCGCATACAAAACAATACCCATCAGCTTTTCTGCACTCTCCATTGTAGCAGTTTGATGTACATTGTAAATTACATTTGTCACCGTAAAATCCTAAATCACAAAAGTCACAACTTCCTGTGTACCTATCGCAACTATTAGGATTACAGTTTCCACATGCTCTATCGCATTTGTTACCGTAAAATCCAGTAATACATCCATTATAACAGGAGCCCACGTTACTACAACTTTGTCCAAAGCAGTTGAAACAATTTGTGCTACACGTATCACCATAGTATCCAAGTTTGCAGGAAAGGCAAGCGCCGTCTGTTTTTTTGCAGACATTATTTAGACAGTTGACATGTTGACATTGGTTTTGACACTTTTCACCCCAAAAACCTGGATAACAGTCGTCTGTACAGTTACCATATTCATCGCAGGAACTGTTTACACAATTAGAGCTGCATTCTTTTAAAAAAATAGAAATACTAGTATATGAATATCATCTATATAATTTTTCAAATCATAGACTTTTTGTGTTTTCTTTGAAGGGGTTACTAGGTAATACATGCATATGGAATTTATTTGACATACACGACACCCTTCACCTCGGAGATGCATTCTTGTTTTTTTTTCTCCATAACATGAAATTTTAACGATAGCTGGGTCTTTGGAGCACTTTCTCCGTGATCGGGAATTTATGTGTTCGAAAAACGCTTTCGTCGATAAATGATAGTTGTGGAATCTTTGGACGTCACCTTAAAGACCGAGGCACCAAATCACGGTGGATGTGGCACAAATGAGAACCCTTACCTCTCCATTAATCGAGTACAGAAAAGAGGTCTAGAACTAGAGCCCTTCGCCGTAATATGAAAAAATAATCAAATGGTGCATAGAATAAAATAATTTTGTACGAGCCAGACGTCATATCTTTTTTTTCATTTCAACTATGCTGAATACTATAATTTGATTAAAAAAAAAAGGTATTTAAAAAAGGAAATGAATCGTCCAGGATTCCGCTTTAAATTCACATCGAACCTTTGCACTCATGTCAGAAAATTTATGTTGAGTTCTTTCTGTTATAAACATACACATCTTCCAAGTTTCGCAAGACGTCATTGATAAAGTCAAATAGGAATTCTATAAACATATGCATTAGGCAAAAAAGCTTCTGCGCAGGGGACGGGGCACAGGTAAACTACATTTGATATACAATACAAATTTGAATAAAGAATAATGATAATAAAATACAAGGAATGGTCAGAAATTATTGAACGTTAACCTTTATTTTTACTCCATAGAGGAAACGGATAAATTCATTAAAATTCGTGACAATTTTATCAAGAATGAATAACTTACAAATGTGCATAATTTGATAAGTTCGTATTAAATGAAATTTGGCATATATATGTATCTTTATTGACCTGAAGTTAAATTGATACATCATATTAAGGGCAGTATAGCCATGATCTTTATTACTGTTGAAGCAATCGCGGACATTTATAGTTGTATTTAAGTTGTTTAACGTCCCCTGGAGGATTTTTCAATCCTGTGGAGAAACCACCTTTTGACGGTGGAGAGATGAACATTTTTGCATTTAGTTGGGCACTTACGATGATTGAGCAGTGAAGGTTTCTTTAGCGTGCCAGTACCTACTGCGACATGGCACCTCAAGGACCTACAAGTTTTAGTCTGAAGGATGGGTCTCAACATCCCGCAGTGGAATTTAAACCAGCGACGTACGAATAAACTCTGGATCCGTACTTTGCGACAAGTCTCTTGAACACAAAACGATTCTGTAGCTTTAACGTTTCTTTGTCTGTCATCACATATATCGGTATGAAAAATCTAGAGATCAGACGCTCTCTCGTTTCTGATGGAATTCTTTGATCGAAAAAAAGATGATATTCCAGAGGGCCTTCATTAAAAAGAAGAATTAACACAATATCACAATAATTTCCGAACATCCCTCGTCATGTGTAATACTGTATACAGGGAAAATTTTGTTTAAATTGTACCTGACGGCCCAACTTTATTTGGGCGAATTCAAAACGTGCAATATAATTTTTTAAGCAAAACTATGATTGGGCGAATTTAAAACGAGACAAATTTGTTTGTAGGTGTGAATCGAAAGGGCAAAAATAACACGGGGCAAATTTCAAATAACCCTGTATATAGTATTGAATAGTAGAATATCTTTAAATATCTTTTTTATCGCATGCAGTTTTCTATTTAATAATTAAACATATCAATATATAAACATGTTTCTTGACCTTTATATATTCTTTAATCATGGCTGATAGGTTGAAAGAAATTATTGACTATAGGGTGTCATTGGGTTATTCGGAAAATGATTTGAGAGAATTTGTCAGAACCCAACAGGAAATCGAGAGAGAATAAAGAAGAGCAGAAAGAGAAAGACAGAGTTAGAGTATCAACGACTAAAAGAGAAGTATGACAAGGAAATGAAACTTCAACAGATCTCCCACCAATGAGAAATGGAATTACTCCAGGAGAAATGGAAACTAAAAATCAACTGAGTAGGTAATTGTAAAAATTAAAAGACCAAAGATTCCAGCATTTGTTTGAGAGTACCATTAAATTGTTCGACCATTCTGTTCGTAAGTAAAGTAGTAGACGCAAGTTGACCAGAAACAAAACGCCAGCTTAGATCCCTTCCTGGTTTGGTAAGTTTTTATAGGAAATTTATACCAAATGTAATGTCATAGCGTCAAAATAAACACGTGTAGTTTACACATATGCAGCAAAACTTCGATCGATTTCTGACTTTCAAAATTAAAAAAAATATATACTGTAAAATCACATATTTCGTGGGGTCAAATTTTCGTGTTTTGAGGAAAAAATGTTGGTTCTTGAGGATTTGATTTCGTGGATGAAGAACAATTTACTAGTTGTGCATAAAAAAATTCGCATTTTATGGCGGACATAAATTCGTGGGTCTCTTCATACCAAGAAAACAACGAAAATTAAATCCCCACGAAAATGAGTGATTTCACAGTAATTATATTATTACTTGATGAAATATTAATTGCAGATATCTTAAAATGGAAATAATGCATGTTTTTCCATGCTATTCAAATAATTTCCGTACATTCCTTAACTTAATGATTCCGCCCTTTATCTGTATGAAGATGCATATTTATTTGGGGGTATAAAAAGGGATTTGAAAATCTTTGTATTTCATTCATTTTTTAAATATAGAGTTGTTTACTCGTTTGAAAAGTTATGTAGTCCGGATAAAATTAATCTTCAAGTTGACATAAATTGTGATTTAAAAAAAAATACATCTGGCTGTTTAAATACTTATCTCTTTAAATACTTACGGCAACCAGTTTCAATGTTACATGTTTGACAACCTCCACAAGATGAACATGATGGTCCGTAATAACCAACATTACAACCTTTAAGGATAAGTAAAGTAGAAAAATTTGTTCAATTGTTCAATATCAACATCCTTCTGCATTTTATTAAAGGTAAATTGTTTCAATATCTCATTCCAAATAAAAATGAAAGGAAAATTCAAAAAGTTCTTCCATGTGTATAATACATGTATATAGTTCTTACCAAACATTTTTATTTCGCATACTTCTAGTACAGCACCTTTTTCCTTGTCTTCAGGGGCGTCATAACTCGTTGTAATTCTAACGTATCTCGCAGATTCATTACACTTGATATTTTGAACACTAGAGGGTACATAAGGAAATCCAGTGGTATCTTTATAGCACAATATCCATTGCGAAAAAGCCCCTGTAGCAACAGCTAATTCGAATTTTCTGAATCTATATGGCTTCCAATTATCTGTTGAATATAAATGCTGACATTTGTTTGAGACATATAAGCATTGTGATTTTTTTTCTGAAAATGAATTTCACTTTAAACATTGTACGTTGTGCCCTCAGTAATTTGTGCTTATAGATGAATTATTGAACTTCAGTAGTCAAAAATTAGTTGTCAGTTTCCCAACGATTAAAAAATTCAATGCAATTTACTAGTAATAAGTTAACCTGAAATGTTTCCAAAACAGAATAAAAGATAACAAAATACATAAAGAATCACCTTCAATTCTGTAGTATATTACAATATTTTTCAACTGAAAAACTCTCCCTAAATCCACCTCAACAAATGCGGAAGTTTGTCCAAGTTCTGTATGTGAACAACTTAAGAAATCTTGATGGATATTCCCGTCGATGACCTTATCTGCAGATAAGTCTCTATATGTTGTGCTCAATCGGGCCGTGCAATTATAATTGGTGCACAGATCTTCTATAAGGAAAACAAAAGGCCCGTGGGCCACATCGCTCACCTGAGCATATTGGATAGAAAAAGGTATGAATCGTGTATTGAAATGAATTGAAACAATTATGACAAGGAGCACATGGCGGGTGTGACAGATGAGCAGGGGATACTCATTCCTCCATGGCACCTGATCCCATCTCTGATGTTTTGAAGGTCGGTTTTTGCTTTGCTCCTATTTTGTATTGTTTTATGGACTTTGATATTGAATACTGTTCGGTGTCTCCATATCCCTAATTTCATATCAATAACAATGGCTCTACTATTCTAGAACAGATTCCTCTCTCTATTACATGTAGTAAGAGACCAGAAAAGCTTATGCGATAGAAATGCATTCGTCGACTGCCCGTTTGTCTGTAAACATTTTTTTCAAAATGCTACTCCTTCTACAGTTTTAGTCTGATTTCAATACAACATTGCACACATAAGTAGACTTCACTAAGATACATCATTCTGTGTATCGATTTTGATTCGATGAACGGTGTTTCCGTTGTTATTAGAAGTAGAAATTTCTGTGAAATGATTTCAAAATCTTACTCCAAATATAGATTTGGTCCGACTTCAGTATAGCGTGACACACAGGAAGACGAAACTAGATACATGATTCTGTATATTGGTTTTTATTTTGATGAACTGTGTTTGCCATGGTTACAAAACAAATATAAATTTCAGTGAAATAGGGGCTATTTTCAAAATGCTACTCTAAATACAATTTTTGTCTGATTATAACATAATTTGGCATGCAAGTAGATTACACTGAGATTCATGATTATAAATTTTGTGTTTTTTACGTTAATGATTGATGTTGCCAAGGTTACTAACATTGAAAATTCCGTAACATTTTATTCAAAGCTACTCCAACCGTTGTAATTTCATTGCAATCTTTCCGTAAAAAGAGACATAGTCAAGGATTATTATTCTATTTTTGCTTTTGTATGTTTAAAGTCTCAACTGCAACTTTTCTCTCCCTTTATTATAGGTACAAACCAGCAGAGCAACAGTCTTGAGAGAGAGTTCTGGTTTCGCTGTATATTTCATATTCCTTTGAAAAAAATCAATGACCATCATGACCTCTTCTTACTCCTGGAATCATGATTTGAACAAATGTGAATCTACACACATAATGATGCTTTCATATACATATATATATAACTATACTATGGTCTTTCCATTCTATAGATGAGGACAGCCCTACCCCCTTCCAATTATTATATGAACAAGCTTTATTTTACACTACCTAAAGAAACTTCCATTGAAGTATTTTCAATCTGGCTTTGCTGTTCTCCGAAAAAGATTTCTTTTATACATGTTTATTCCTGAGTAAAACTTTGATTTTATGTTGTGGCCCCGCCCTACCCCCAGGGTTCATTATTTGAACAAACTTAATTCTACTCTCCCCGAGGATGCCTCAACATAAGGATTATCTTTCCTACCAAAGAAGGTTATGAGAAGATTTTTCCTATATGTTTCTATGTAAAACTTTAATTGTTCCATTGTGGCCCCGACCTACCCCTGTGGGTCATAATTTAAACAAACTTGATTCTACAAAACCTGAGGAGGCTTTCATATGAGTTTATCTTTTCTAGCCATGAGGGTCTTAAAAGGAAGATTTTTAAAGGTTTTCCCTATGTATTTCTATATAAAACTTTTTTTTCCGTTGTGGCCTAGCCCTTACCCTCGGGAATCATGATTTGAAAAAAAAATTGATTTGACCTACCCGAGGATGCTTCCACATAATTTTATCTTTCCTGACCCATTGGTTCTTGAGAAGAAGATTTTTAAAATATGCCATTATTTGTTCACTAATTCATAATTATCTCCCCTTGGAAGACGGCCTGGCCCTTCAGTTGAACAAACTTGAATTTCCATCACCCAAGGATGCTTTGTGGCAAGTTTTTTTTTTTTTAAATTGGTCCAGTGATTCTTAAGCAAAATATATAAAATATAAACAGTTTTCAACAACGACGACAACATCGACGAAGACAACAACAACAGACAACAGATAATTTTTGATCAGAAAAACTCACTTAATCTCTAGGTGCAGGTGAGCCTAAAAGATACGTTGTTTTGAGAGTTTACTTTTTTAAAAAAAAAGTTTTTCAAGCATAATAAAGCACAGATTAGATTTTTTAAAATTACTTTTTACATCTAGTATATGTATTTCTTTTAAGATTCAAATTTTCATTTTTTATATATTCCTGAGGTTATTAACTATGATTCTTCACGCCGGCATATTCCATGTAGGACGTTATGAGATTTTGAACGTTACCGCTACATGGAATATGCCGGCGTGAAGAGTCGTAGTTCATCATCTCAAGAATCTTAAAAAATGAAATTAATTTCTTATGTTTACATTATACCTTTCTTTTCAATCGAAACCCTGACTCCTGTATGTTGTAAATAGTCGTAAATTGATATTTTTAGAGTTGTTCCTGTGGTAAGCCTCATACTGCGTCGAATTGAAAAATATAGTGCGGTTTTGTTATACAGTAGTAATAAATGATTTGGTGATTGTGTTTTGTTTAACGTCCTTATCGAGAATATTTCACTCAAATGGAGACGCCATCACTTGCCATTCGAGAGATGCAAAGTTTGTCTTTTTTCTGCCTGGACCTTCTGCGACACGGGACCTCGGTTTGTACGGTCTCATTCGAAGGATCGGTCTCCGTGTCCCACAGTAAGATTCGAACCCGCGATCTTAGGATCAACCGTACTTCGCCTACTAACAACTGCACCACGCGGGCGACGTAGTAGTAAAATAAGATTAACAATTAAACGAATGATAATTGATTTCAGAAATGCAATTATTAGACAAAAAACCATGGAAAATAAAGAATGTTTAACACAACTAGGTTTACGGACGAAAAATGTTTCCAGAAGACAAATGTGTAAATATTTCAATGTCAGTGATCAGGTTGTCAGCATGGTCGGTTATTTCGAGACTTAGTGGAATGTGCAGGCGTGTGATGTCGAATGTGTCATGATTCCTTAAGTTTTTACTGTTTCTGTAACCGAAGATCATGAGTGGAGGATATTGATCATCATTTGTTAAGTATTTTAAATTGAAAAATGTTGCTGAATACCACATGGGGTGGGGGGGGGTCGATGGCAAGGTCAGAGAAAAGAGTTGCTGACATCGGATCCGCGCTAACGTGGGGAACTTGCTCAGCATTTGATATCTCTTGTCTTTGTTAGTTTTCATCTGACATTTTTGAAAATGTGGCACTGGGTTGTCTTTTTCTGCAGCGTTGAGCAGTGTTTATTGTACGATCTCATGGAGGATTAATTTCTATGCCCTGCGTTAATTGTTCATGTGTTCTATTGCGGTTGCCCTCATACAACATTGAATATAAATTTTACTACTTTTGGAAAGTTTACAAATCTTCGACATAAGGTTGGTAAATATTCTTTTCACCAGGGGTTTGTTTACAAACTAAAAGGATGTAATGGATAGAAAATAAAGACGAGCTTTGTTGTATAGGTTAAAAAGGTGAGTTGCAGTTCCATCGTTTTTTTTTTTAAATAAACAGCTGTGAACAACATTTTTATGCGTCATGTTTTTGATCATGTCGGTACATGCGTTTGTCGCTTGGAGCTTTCTCTGGTTCCAAAACCGCCTTGAAACTTTTTTCTTTAACTTCATGATTCAGAACTGCATACTCGACAATATTATCATTTGAAGGTGAATGAATTAATTTTAAATTGATGGCGATACTCGGTTCTCCTTTAAACAAAGTGTGTTGCGATGTTGAACCAAACACATCGTCTAAGGATGATATGATAAGGTTTGCTTCAACATTTTTTTTAAATACATGTAAGTATTAATTAATTTTAGATCATCATCACTAATAATATCTTTATTAGGAGTTTGGCGAGATAGACCTCTCTTTCATGCGTAGCTTCAAAAGAGCAATAAGAATTATATCAAACAGTTTGTGTCATTTTCTGCTCATTTTGTTTTCATTTCACAGTACTCACATTTTTTGTCATTCACAATATCTGTGTTTCGCCCCAAATTCTAGAGATGGCGGTTAAATAAAGGAAATATCATAAGTAAATGTTTTTATTATATTTCCCTACTTGTTCTGATGAAGGGAGTTTTGTCTAGCATTTTTTGTTTTGGTTTTGCTTCGATATAAAATTTTGTCAGTAATGTTGCCAGTTCATCAAGATTTATGGACATGGAATTTACTGTGTGACTCTGAGACTCTACACATCACTCTGAAAAGGACAGACAAGGCTAGAATATAGGTCTCTTTGAATGTCATTCAGATTTTCTACTAATTGTTCTGTAATTGTAAGACATCCAGGATAATTTGACTGAATATCATTTTTTATGCAAAGAAATATAAAATCTGATTCAACGGAATCACCAAGAAATTTGTAAATTAAAGTGACAACTCATACATTGGACGATCTTAATTCCCCATTTTGTATTTTTTTTAAAAAATTTCATTATTTTATATGGAAGAGGGCGGCGGTCACATACCTGAAAATGAAATGGGTGTCTTCAGGGTCATTTTCTATGGGATGGGGTGCACAACTGATTATAGAGGGAAAAACATTTTCATTTAACTTTTTTGTGACTCTGATCTACGTCTAGATTTTAAGTAACCAAAGGAAACATTGTTGTAACCAGTTTTGAAATAACGACCACTATTGAAATAATTATATCAACAGTGGTTGAGAGTGCATTTCAATAGCAAGCATAGGTAATAGACATTATTGGAATACGACCACTATTGAAATATCTATTTCAATAGTGGGTGAGATTCATTTCAACAACAAACATAGGTTGCAACCACTATTGAAATAATGTTCACTTTTGAAATAAAAATTTCAATATGGATTAAATTATGGTTTTAGTTTTGAAGTTATATCAGCAACTATCAAAATAATTATTTGAATAACTTTTGAAATTATAATTTCACTTACTATCTAAATCTTGATTTGAGGACAAATAATAATAA